CGTTCTCACCCGCTGGATAGGGAACCGTACCAAAAACATTCTGACATTTCCAAAATGTTATATTTCACGCAGCGTCGCGCTCAGAGGAGTGGAAAAAGGTTACCCACTCGCCCAGCTCTCGCGGGAATATGGGGCGAAATATGTTTGCATGTGTATGCGTATTTGGATATCTCTTGGCTGTTTATACGTAATTAAATATCGCCACTCTGTTCACGGATGGCAGATCCTTAAAGGCAGATTGCTTATGTTTTGATACGTACCAGCTCATCGAGCCTTGTTCTGTAACGTAACCATGATATTATTATTGATGTTGATCTATAGCAATTTTGCATTAGTTTGATTCATGGTAAGTATGTCCAACCAAAACATCAACAATATAGTGAAGCAAAGTATTTATGTACGTGTTGATTTTATTTTATCTTTCAGATTTTTAATACTTTGCATTTGATGTGTAGCTGTCACTTGTTTCTCGGTAATAGTTATTTGACATTCTTTTTTTTTATCTGTATCATCTTTCCTCACGCTTTCCTGCAATTTGTGGGAGTGATTTCGTGAAATGGGACGGAAGTGTGTAACAGGAAGTCGCGAAAGCGCGCGCTTATTGATTTGATTTTAGAACATATTGTTCAAATGGATTATTCCTTTTGTAGTAGGTTTAATTTCTTCTTTTACTAATATTAGGTGAGGTTTTAAATGTTACACATTATACGCGAATACTGTAATTTGTTATGGCTATCGAGTAGCTGTGGGAATTAAATCGTCGATCAAGCGATTAAAAAAAAAACACTTTTTCAATATGACGAGGCAGGAACCTCCGATCATATCGTTTCTTTTTTTATTCTAAGCATAGTATCACTGACGATTATCGGAGAATTAAGAAGCGCACATACAGTCATACATGCATACCTACCTGAACTCTGAAAGCATCGCAGTTTATTATTGTGTTGTAAAAAATTCTTTCCTGTAAAATAATCTCATTCGAAATTTGAACAATACAAAAATGAGCATTCTATAAATATTCGTTTAATGCGCCCAAAACCGGTGACAGCGACGGGAGTACGCGGCCACAGCTGCAGTCCCGACGAGGCAAAACAAAAATGCACCAACGGAATATTTTACAAAATTGCATTTGGCTCCTTTTGCGTACCACCGTACCGGGCCAAGCGGGCGACGCGGCGGCGGAGTAGAAAATAAATAGGTAAATTATTCGAGAGCAAATGACATTTTCACAGCTCCGGTAAAAAGGTGAAATAGGTTTATTTTGGACCTTTATTTGCTCGCTCCTGTCTATCTGGTTTATATCATTCAGTGGGAGGTTGTTTTGATAGTATTCCGCTTCGGAATGAAGTGGCTTTTGGAAATATTATTATTGCCGCTACTCCCCGACTTAGTAAGGGTGCAATTTACTAATGAAAAAATGATGTGTTTCGATTTTAATAAAAAACACTGTTGAGTTTTTCTATTTTTCTGACGGATTTTCCAAAGAGTTTCTTTAATACAAACCTTGTCTTCATAATAACGAACACAACAAAAAACAATCGTCCAAGTCTTTAACTATCTCATGTGTGATAAGTATCTCCCTAGCAAAATCCATTCTTCGCATTTTTTAACTTAACTACAATTTTATACTTTTTTTTTCTATAAGTCATATTCTTTGCATATGGATGGGTCTTGCCAGGGAGTATCACACCATATCATGCGATGCTCCGTCACGCATGTGACATTTGATTTATATAAAAAAGATTGACATAATAATAGTTGTTATTAAACCATTACTATGCGCAAAAAATATAAAATTCAATTCAAAATTCAATATCATTTATTCAGTCTAGGCTGTAACAAGCACTTGTGAATGTCGAAAAGCTACGCCATCGGTTCGCAAATCTACGGCGGGAGACCTTGTACTGAGAAGAACCGGCAAGAAACTCAGCAAGGGCTGTTTTTTTCTCCCTGTATTGTATACAGAGTCGTCAAATTGAAAAATGACTTCAATATGAGGTAACTCATAAAGTCACTTTCCATTACAAATGCTAATATAATAAAAATTATGACTATATAAAAAACTGGTTTAACAAAGTTTAGGAATGCCGTGTCCTGCTGTTTAGGCAAAAAAAAAATTAACGATTTAAGTTTAGTACAACGGTTAATAGTATCCAATGAAGCAAGAGCAGACTCATCTCCGCTGGCAGCACCCGTTCACGAGCATGACGCATGAACCAGCCATCGCTTCGCTCAACCATATTTTAGGGAACGCAACGACCCGCCTCACACGACACCGCCGAAGAGATTTTTAAGAGAGCATGACTACCCATAACCACTCAAACCAAACTGCAAAATAGTTACTTAGAGTTAAGGTAATTTATCTATACGACACTGCAAACAAATACAAAACAATTTTGCAGTTACAACCATGCAGTTTTGTCATTCAAGTATTCTTTAATAGTAGTAGTAGTATAACTTTAAGTACACGGTACATGGTAGTTAATATTTGACAATATTTTGGCTGATGCACATAGCATTTTTTTAAGGAACCTCTGGTTATAAATAAAGGGTGCTGTACGGCTTAGAGGTTTTTGCTTGAGTCCTGGGGCAGCCAGCCTCGGGACAAGGCCGTTTAATAATTTGGCGAGGCTCGGTAGTGATCCAACATAAGTTACGCTGGCAACTTTTGCCGAAGATATGCTTGTAGGGTCAAGGCCGCTCAGCCTTTTAAAGGTTCGAAACCATTTAAATTTAGTGAAGGTTCGAAATGAACTAATAAGAATTAAAATAGGTATTCTGTGAGGTTAGTTTAGTATAGAGCCAGTTAGAGTGAGTATCCGTGTTTTGGGTAGCCATGGCAACGGTGAAAAACATAGCTGCCAACCAAATATGTAAACATAAACATTAACAAAATAAAAAAAGGCAGAGTTAAATATGAGAATAAATAAATAAGCAAGAAAGTATTTAAACATATTAGGAAATAGGGAAAAGCCGATAAGCGTCTAGCAATTTTAGAATAGTGATTTATGTAGTTGGGATTCTAATGCGTATTTACAAAATGATGAATAGTGTGTGATATTTTCCAAATTGTGCCTTTCAACGAATGAATAAGAAAAATAATGGTAGTACGCTGAAATTGATGACTATATGAATGAAATATATGGATGAAATAACTGTAAAGTGGAACCTATCATTGCCAAAAGCAAGGATGTCCCTGAGGTACGTTACAGATTCGCAAAGCATACTTTGTATTCGAAAATTCAGTTATAATTATTTAAATGTCGAAATCTCTAAGAAGTGTACATAGCAGATATTGGTTTGAAAACGACGATATATTACGAGAACATGTCGTGCTTCTGGTATAGCAAGCTTACATAGAGAAATACACTGTCAAACTATAAATATTAGTCAGGCGTCAGAGAGGCGAAGTGATCGTGCGGCCAATAGTGTTCATTCGCTATTATTTAATGGCTGCATCATGACTTTTACGCTTTCTAAAGGGTTATTAATTTCATGCGTGTGTCGTTCAGGCCATTCCATAGCTAGTGTCCATAGGCTATAATGTAATGGCCATGGGCCGTGATAAGGAGCTCGATGATATAGCGCGTTCAGCTGCAATTGGAGTTAAGCAACTGTCGCAGTGGTCGGTCATTGGATGAGTGACAAAATCAATTGCTATCTTGAGCTCTTCCGTGTTTTGTAAGGCATGATTAGCGGTTGGTCCCGGCTGCATCTGCAGTCGTTAGCACCCACCAATCCCGGGTCATGGCCCAATCTCACTATTCCATCCATAGGGAAGGGCTATACTCCAGCAGTGGGGACACTAATAGTCTGATAGCTTATCAGCTGGCAGTTAATGTATATTTTCACGTTATGTAATGATAGGTGACTTCAAGAATCTGTCTCGAGTAATTTTTCAACTTTTCGTCACTCTAAATAATAATACGGCCCTTGTTGAGTTTCTTGCCGGTTCTTATCAGTGCAAAGTCTCCCACCGTAAATTTACGTACCTATGGCGTAGCTTTAAGACATTCATGAGTGCCTGTAACAGCCTAAACTTATTGAAGTGAAACTTCTTTAGGCACGCTTGACTAGGGGGGTAAACAAGCGAATGTGTTACGACTTTTGCGTTACGATTAGTATCATCGGTGACTCATCGGTAAATAATGAACAATATCCGTCACAAAATACATGAATCACAAAGTGGGTGATAACGGACCCAGCGCGGATTGGAGGGTGATAACGGACTCATCGCGGATTGGTGGTTTTTTTTCTATCAACAAATCTTCAGGTTAGGTTTATGATTTTCAGATTATTGGAGCTAAAGAAGTTTCACTTCAGTCGTGTGGTCATAAGCACACTAGTTTTTTTTACTATTTTCTTTTTATTAGTACAGTTCCTAAAAATAGATCATCAGTTTAAAGAAAGTCTGGAAATACAATATTAAATACCTACAGCATTATATCTCGTCACTTACCTGCAACGAAGAATAAGTAAACTTCCTGAATTCTTTGCTCTGCTGTTAATTTGGTATTCTGACATCTTATTATACAAAGGAGGAGCTCTATGGGGCAGGCATTTGCCCGTTCGGATGCGATCGTTGAAGATAAGCAACTTCCGCAGTGGTCGGTGATTGGAAGGGTGACCAAAAATCTTCCATCACGAGTTCCTCCGTGCTTCGGAAGGCACATTCAGCCGTTTGCCTCGGCTGCATCATCAGTCATTAGCACCCGCCAATCCGCACTGGCCCCGCGTGGTAGGGTCATGGCCCAATCTCGCTGTTCCATCCATAGGGAAGGCCTGTGCCCCAGCAGTGGGGACATTAATAAGCTGACGATGATAGTTATGATGATGATTATACAAACCATTGTTATGACAGTCTAAATTGGCTGCAGTACATATTATTATATAATAGCAGCTCGTCCCAGGTGAAGACTGAGCATAGGAATACTGTCAACATCCATCATAGGGCCTATAGCCTACTTTGGAGGCTCAAAATATCCCATTTCAACGGTATCCACAAAGACATTAACTAGCGAATTGGATTTATAATGAAAACAGTTCTGCGTAACGATACAAATCAATTATAATTCAACGAATGTCTTATCTAATGTAAATAACGGAGGCGTTTAATTAAAACACCTAATGAACACTCATTATGTTGCGCAAATTAAGTTACGCTCAGTTTTAATTGCAGCTTCTCATTCTAGCGAGGGGAAGATGAAAAAAAAAAATAAGTATGCACTGTTATTATTATCTTTCCATTTTTATTCTTTGTAAACAGTCTTATAATCGAGCGATAAGTTCACATCATCTGGGGAATGTAAACAATACTTTAATTTTGGCGGTCCTCTAAGCGAAACGGAGTTACACAGACTAATAAAAATGATACAACAATATTACTTATATCTACATCGCATTTTTCCTCTTTATTTTATACAATGAAAGATTATCACTTACATTTTAATATTTACAGGAATTGAAATGTGTAATTGAATTACGTTTCCAATTATTTTAAAGCATGACAAATGTTTTTAACGGGTACTTTTTTTTTGTTATTTTTAAAATTCTATTTACAATTCGTTGGTTATTTCGTACAGCTACGTCAGGTTTAATAAACAAATCGTTAGTAAAATCAGCGTCCATTTTGTTTGCATTTTGTCGGTGCTGTTTCCCTTTGCTGCTTCCGTGAGACCTGTTTCGAGAATAAAGGTTAAAATTAAAGCACGTGTTTTGTAAATTTTTTGGACGGTAAATTCAAACTCGCAGTGTAAGAATTTGCGTTATACATAATACTATTGGGTGCCCGCGACACCGTCTGCGTGAAATAATTGTTGTCCCATTTACACGAGGCGAGTGTTCTGAGGAGTTATTCTCCCTTATCCCTCCGTCACCTTCAGAGGGCCACGCGCGCTGGCCTACGTTGCCACCGACTTACTGTGACCACTATTCCTCAACGAACAAAGAAATTAGGTGACTCATTTCTTTGACGTACTATTCGTAAGTGGAATTCTTTACCCGCGCACATGTTTCCTCCTTCCTATAATCTGAGGTCCTTTAAGAGAGGCGTGAAGAAGCATTTATGCAGGCCGGCAAGGTGAGGATGATTGGTGTAGCAGTTTATAACTGCTGTACCAGCTATCTTCGCGCTTGGATTTTATTACCACTTAACATCAGGTTGGGTAGAGTCATTTGGCTACAGTATTTACGTATATAAAGGGGACCCTGTTGCCTGTAATACAGGTTATCCTACCACTGGCAACAGAAGTCACCTTTAACAATATTTAAGCTCCAATGTGCCTCTTGTCACCAATTTTTGTATTATTAATTTAAAATATTGTAACTTGCTTTAAGTCAATAAACGTTTATTTATTTATTTATTTATTATTATTTGCCTACCTCGCCTTAAAAAAAAACTTTCCCTTCGCCCTCTTAGGTTGTGAGTTTTGGAAAAAAAAATCTAGTATGTGTGTCAAATTTCAGCGCAACCCTTTCATTGATTTGAGCTGTGCGTTGCTAAATCAGTCAGTAACGGTTGCCTATTATTTAAACAGATAATTATGCAAAAACGGTAAGTAAATACAATATGAGTATTTTTTTTTTGTTGCACAAAGATTAAAATTAGAAAATGTTTAACATAAAGTTCTGTAACTTCGACGAACTATTACGGGAACAATTTAAATTCTTTTAATAAATAACACGAACTGATTGTACCTACTTAGTCCCTCAAGATCGAACTGTTTAAAAATTTACTGACTCCTGCCAGAAACATAGATTGCTCGGGGGGACGTGAAAACTCATTGGCAAATGTAAACATAAGTTTGCGAGTAAAAAAGAACTTTCTTACCTCCGGCGACGCTGATTTGATTACTGAAGTCCTCTGAGTAAGAGTTGAGTTTTATTTCTGTAAAATTAAACACAAAAGTATGTTAAATATGCATACAGTTTTTTTCATACGGAAATTGTTAGGGTCAAATATATTTTCATCATTTTTTCATGAATACTACTATCTGATAATGGCTGATAAGTGCAAAGTTTATAGTTAATAAAAAAGTGAAACTAATTAAACAGATTTTCTGATGCACGAAATTTCAAGTGCGATATATTGCACACAATATGCTAAAGCGGCGTCGTATTCGAACGCAAATACATGATAATCGCTAGTTTGTGCGAAATATTTTTTCATACAAATCCAATAATAACACGTGATCATTATGGACACTATCTCTACTCCCATCGGCTATTTGAAAAGTTCTTGAAAAAGTTCATACGGTGTTTGCTTTAATGACTTTCTTAAAAGTGGATATTTATAATTCGAAAATAAAAATTTTGTTTTCAAATATGCCGCGGGAACGTTTATCTAGCAGCGCACACAGGGAGAGGAGCGGCGAAGATATTATAAGCCGCGGCATGAAACTAGCGCTGACCGTTATTGCGCAGAAGTAAACGACAACGGCTAACTAGAGTCGAGGTCCGAGTCTCGGAAACGCCCTCTAGTTGAGCCGACCCCCTCAGGTTCGATTAGTCTAGAGGCTCCAGCCGGAGAGGAGACTCCCCCCATGAGGGAGATGGCATCCGCCTGGAATACCTCTAGAGGCACTTGCCAAAGCCGTCCTCAAACCCGGTGACGCTGTAAAGGTCATCTGCGACCAACAGCATACACACCCAAAAAATAAAAGCACGGCGTTTCCGAGCGCTGCCTAGAGCCACGGAGCGGAGTAGTCGCGCACCGGCTCTTGTGGCCGCTTCGCAGCGTTGGCGCTGTGCGCCGCTTGCATATTGTTTCATGTTTGCCATAAGATTTTGTAAACTTATGATATAAGAATTCGGATTCGACTTAAATTGCTAACTTCTCAGTATCTTCGCCGTACCTGTCCTAGTGTGCGCTGCGCCTTAAGCTATCTATTTAATAGATCAATGTAATACCAGTGAAGACTCATTTTAAAAGCGATATTTTAGTTTTCAAATAAATCAATTTCTTTGATTATCTACCCGTTTTACTAGAACTTTGACACAAAGTAATTCGATACAACAAAGCCTGTTCAGAACGAAATTCATTAGGTGCACGACATTGTTTAAATATTGATATTAATTTAGACAACGAAATTATTGGTTTAGTAAGAGCTCTGTAGGTATTCTAAAATCATGATTCAACGTAGATGATTTATTTGCTTATTTAAATTATAAATTGTGTTTTGATAGAACAAAAGAAAGGTTTAACACAAATCTTTAAATAAATAAAATACAGATAAATGAAGGTATACAGTTTCAAGCAACATAACAATCTTATGTAGCTAATTAAACTATGTTTTTAATTATTCAGATAAAGATTTTTTTTCTAGTAAAATTTACTTCGGATTCATAAATCTAACAGTTAAATGCTTGAGACAAAATTATAATAAACTATTTTCTTACTTAGCTATAGGCTATTTTGCATACTTAGATTATTATACTATCACTTTGTGAATAATGAACCTTATAAATAAACTAGTGGCCCGCCCTCGCTTCGCTTCGGTGTAGAGCTGTAGTGTAAACTATAGTTTTTGTTCTCAGGCTAGTGCTATAAACAATGACTTTATTTATATAATTACACGTGTTATTGTGAGTCAACCATAAAAGATAGACATATGCTGTTGCGAGATATTTTTTAGACAATTTTATGTAGAATATTTCCGTCATACATGATTTCTATGTAACTTTAACCATTAAGGCTGCACAAGCGACGGAAGCTTAAAAAATGGAGTAACTTCTCCCGTTTTCCCAATATTTCCCTTCACTACTCTGCTGCTATTGATTGTAGCGTGATGAAAAGTATACTATAACCTGCCCAGGAGTATGAAGAATAATTGTACCAAGTTTCGTTAAAATCCGTCCAGTAGTTTTTGTTTCTATAAGGAACATACACACAGACAGACAGACAGACAGACAAAAATTTTACTGATTGCATTTTTGGTATCAGTATCGATCACTTATCACCCCCTGATAGTTATTTTGAAAATATATTTCATGTACAGAATTGACCTCTCTACAGATTTATTATAAGTATAGATATAGATAATAAATTTTTCCAACACTCATTAGCTTAGCCCCAAAGCAAGTACTGTAGGCTTGTGTTATGGGATACTAGGGTAACAGATAGAATACATATACTGTATATTTATTATATTTACAGTATATTTATATAGAAATACATATTAAACATCCATGAAAGGAGTACAAATGCGCGCATTCATCACACAAACATCTGCCCCCACCGGTGCACAGATCACTCTGCCACCTTGACACCTGGCGTACAAACCACTCGGCTACGGAGGTCGTCAACCTACTTCTCACAGAAACCAAAGTACTCATTCACCTTTTATCAATTTCCATTTATGTTTAGAGATATTCTTAACCGATTACTTGAGTTGTCCACCTTGCCCACCTGGGTAGACCACCTCTCGTAGAGAGTATATTGTTCTGTGTCAGTTAGGAACTAAAGATACTAATCGCCCACCTGTATTATATAATGTTTTCTTTTGTCCACTTAACTGTACCACCAAATAAGATTTTGGTAATTTCGAGGAATAAGTGGAAAGCATTTTTGCAGACCGTCAAGGTGAGGATGGTTAGTGTAACAGTTTGTAACTGCTGTACCAGCTATCTTCGTGTTTGGACTTAATGACCACTCAACATCAGGTGGGGTAGAGTCATTTGCCAAACCTCGCTAAAAAAAAAGCAGTTTCTCCTTGGGAGTTATGTTCTCCTCCACATCCGAATTCACAAATTGTAGTTCTTTTTTTTCCAGGGGTTCCAGCTGGATCCTCAAAAACTAACTTTAAAGCGGACGAAGTACCGGGGGCAACCTAATCACACTAATATTATAAAGGCGAATGTTTGTGAGTATGTGAGTGTGTATGTTTGTTACTTCTTCACATCTTAACGGCTGGAGGGATTTTAATAAAATTTGGTATGGAATTAGCTGATACCCTGGATTAACACATAGGCTACATTTTACTGCGGGGAAGTATCCTTAAAACCGCGGGTAACGCCGCGGGCACAGCTTCGTGCTTGGACTTAATCAAGACTCAACATCAGGTGGGGTAGAGTCATTTGCCTAACCTCGCTATAAAAAAAAGCAGTTACGTTCTCCTCCACGTCCGAATTCACAAATTGTAGTTCTTTTTTTTTTCATAAATAATTAAAAATTTTCAGCGGGATCCTCAAATACTAACCTAACCTAATGTTTGATAAATTTATAACATGAATTTTAATTAAGATCAGTAACTTTGGTACCTAACATACCATCAGATGGAAAAGGTAGTAGGTTGGGAATTTTTATTTCTTACCATGACCACCCAGGTGGACAGATCAGTTCAGTCAGATATTGATTACTACATTTTTATTTTCATGCATGTAACTGCTAGTTTAACATGTTTTATGATGTGAACGAATGAGGAATACACATCAATCACTTTCATAAACTAGAATTTGGAAATCAATTACTATTTAAAGTATGTAGTCGATTTTGAAGTGTAGAGTCATAATAACCGGTTTTATCATTACAAAGTGTCAAATTGTTTTAATCGATTAAAAAGTTTGTCTGTAACTTTAGTACCTATCATTAGCATCATTATATAGAAAAAAACTCGCTAGGGTTTGCAAGTTTTTAACGATATTTTGCGCGGGAAGAAGTGCTGACAACTAATGTAATAAATATCAAAATATTGAAATTCACTAAAAACATAATGATTACAATATCATTATGCACGCTATAATTGCGTTTAATACGGACACACACACACACACATACAATAATAAAAGAAGTAATACTTTTCGTAAGAAAAACCTCAATAGCATTCAAACATAATTTAAATTGTGCAATTTTGCCCTCATACAATATTGTATTCCTCAAATTTCGGGTTAAATAAATTGAGAAATTTCTCTTAAACCTGTTACTACGAACGGAAAGGCAAAATATTATTTAGATAATAAGTTGAGATATTTTTGGAACATATAAATTATCTACCTTTCAATATTGGAGCATCTTTCCGAGAAACCAAACAAGGAAACATAATCCAATGAAGAATAATAATGAACGAAGTGACACTCTCTTACCGTAAAGCCTCAAAGTTCCTTCACTCTTCCCGAGGGAGTTTGTACTGACGCAATTGTAAGTGCCGATGTCACTCTTCGAGAACTGTCTGATTGTCAACCACATTGACACTTTGTACGAAGATTTCTCCTCTCTGATTGTGTATTTTGGCCTGAAAAAATGCTTTTTTTTAAATTTTGTACGTAATTTCTAATTCTCGTTTACCTCATCTTAATAGCCTGCGCAGACGGAGGACTTTTCTTCACGGAGGCCTTATGTACGCCGTAATAGATCGCTTACATCTCGCAAACGACGGATTATAATACCGCGGACAAAAAGTCCCCCGAACTAGCGCGGACACCGAGGGACCGGACAGGAAAAAAGTACGCAAGAGTCCGCAAAAAAAATTGACAATAATATGTGACAAGACAAGGCAATGCACACAACAGACTTTAGTACGCGGTGCGCGCTCTATAGTGATGTACGTGGTAAAGATGTTGAAAAAGAACTAACTCCTTTATATGATACATTAAAAAAAGAGTATCAGGACCGAAAGGACAGTGACGAAATATTTAAAGGAATTATTTAGCGTCTACAGATTTCATCATCAGAAATACAAATTAAATAATCTTAAGGGATTATTATTATATCAAGTAATTGAGAAGGATTGTCAAAGTCTGCACGCCGGGGGACAAATATCCGCACAGCGTGTGCATCGAGTCCGTGACAAGTCCTCGGCGGACATTTTTTTTATAATACAGGGACAAAAGTCCTCCGCGGACAAAAGTATGTCGTCTGCGCAGGCCATTAGCCTTATATTGACCCAAATTGTTTACGTATGACAAAGAGAGTATGAAAGAGAACTTGATCATAATTCAGGCCAGACAAATGGGGATTGAAGGATACCCATGGACTGCAAATGCAACCGGGAACGACGGAATAAGGTTTATACTAAAACCTTATACTATAAACGAAGAAAAAGCTTGCATTAGTTACTCTATGTTTTGTCTCTGTTCATTAAATGGCACTTGAGTGATATGTACAAAACACGGCGTAACTGGTCTATGCTTATTCCTCGTTTATTAATAGTGGGGGTACACAGAGTTTCGAAGTCATTACATAGGACCATAGAACACAGAAAGAGGTTATAAGGGTGATCATAGACCGTTTGTACGGACAACGATGTCGCCGGCTCGCCCCCTCTACACTTCCACTTAATAGATAATAGCCAATCAAACGACGCGACATCAAACAATCGAACCAATTAGCGCTCACACTCGAACGAGAGACGAGCAACGACGCAATCAGAACCAAGTTATGAGCATTTGCTCACACATATAACTGGCTGCCCCGCCCACAAGGGCCTTCTAACCTCTTTCTGTGATCTGTGCATAGGACCGTTCAGATGTTCACTTGCAGCTACGTGCGATCGTAACTGCTCCGTCGCAGGTATCTTGATACGCGCGTATTGAGTTTTGATTGTCAAGTATCGGCCTGTTCAGTTGATCTGCCTGACTTGTTGCGTACAAACGTAATGGGCAGAGAAAAATGGATGAGCCGTGTGTTAAGGCTTGTTTGTCGCGCGATCATGCACGTCAATGCGCGACCATCTGAACTTAGCCCGATGTACCTTTGATCCGATGCGTGTAAAGAACGGAGGTATGATGATTAATTACGTACCTTTACTATTTTAACAACTTCTTTAGTCAATCAGTATTATATATAATGTTGATTTACTGTATTTTATCTTTAGAACGATTTAAAAGTAATTTCATGAAAAGACAATAAAAGAAACAGTCTTTTGACATTTACGGCACCATTCCTGACGTCAGCGCGGGAGTGATATATTTTTTAATTTGTAAGATATATTTTTTAAGTAGTTAATTCTTTTTAAGTTTATAGACTATAATTAGTTTTAAGCTTTTGTAATTTGAATATTAATATGTAAGTATAATAAACAAATCAGAAATCTTTTTACCTTCATAAATAACAAATAAAACCTTGGAAACAATATTTCCCAGACACGTTTGGAAACAATATTACAATAATACCCAGACTCTCGAAGGAATGTCCTAGACCAGGGGTGCTCAAACTTGAACTGCTGGCGATCTGCCTCAAAATTTTTAGACTACTTACGATCGACTCTGAGAGGCTGCAAGTATGTGTGATGCAGGGTTGTCGTACATACACGATACACCACACCTACCTACCTACCTAGGTAGGGTGTACCGTAGCATATATAGATATTAGCTTTCCGCACAATATACATTATTTTAGTCAAGGGGGTTTGGGTATTTGGGTTAGGTTTAATTAGGTTCTTCTCTACAATATCAATGAAAAAACTCATAGTTAATCAAAATTGCGAGTTTATTACTTGTTACAAAACAAAAGAGTTACATAGGATGTTAAACTTTATTAACTTAATCTTTGAATGGTTTCTTGTGTTTTGTCAGTATATGAGATATTTTAAATGACGATCGTAGCAGCTTTTGATTGTTTGGGTGGTCTTGTGATCATGGTTTGTTCTTTTTTCAAACAAGATATGAAATCACGTACTTTTCGTTTTCTTAATTAACTCTGTGGCGGAAAATCCATTTCATAGTTTTTATGAACCGTTTTATGATATCTTTCTTAGTTACCACGCTTAGGTATTGCAACTGACTCACGGCAATTAAGACAAATACACTTATCCTTCACCATACAAAAGAAAAATTCTTCCTCCCAATCGTTATTAAAATGATACGTTTTAGATTTCTTCGCTGCACTCATTTTGTAATATTTAATAATAACTTTGTATCGACGTAGTATCGCCTTCAAGTTACAATTCAGAATGACTCCAAATCCTGCAAGCGCAACATTTACATCGGCGTGAACGAAAGTCTCGAATGTTCCCGTCAACCACGCCGCCCGAGATTTCTAGAAAAGTGGCAAGAATAAAAAACGCGGCTTTTCTTTGACAAGTACCGCGCGTTCCTTTTATAAAGCCGCTTTTTGCCGCTAGCAGAGTGTTATTTTATTACGTAATTGTAGTTTAGTTAAGTACCTACTTATTAAAATTTGGTTCTTCTCGAGATCTACTCAAAAAGCACTCCCGAACGACAGATCGATCGACCGTTTGGGCACCCCTGTCCTAGACAAAGAATCTTGAATTCATATTTAATGTCTCACAATATTTGTTATTCGTTTTCTTCCATTCAAATCGTAAATATTCGAACACAAAACAAATACCATTTTTTCAACCTTCAATTTGGAGTAAATTGACAGTCCAAAGAATCATTTGACGAGTACTGACATCAAAAAGCTTTTAAAGAACAATAACTCCTAATGACAAGTGAAGTAATATTTTGTTTGTAAATGTTGGGTGAATACATTATATAGCATGTTTTTTATCTCCATTACTACTACTAATCTTCATCATCATCATGTCAAACGCAAAGCACCCACTCCTGAATTTAGTTCTATACCGTTTTCTTCATTTCTGTTTCTATTACGCAGGGAAATACCGTAATCGCTCTCCGCATTATTCTTCCGCTCGTAGTATGTTACCTTGAACTTTCTTAAAGGGTCCATATTAAACGACCACGTTGCGCTTCCGTTAGTTATGACTGGCAACACTGACTAGTCAAAAACTTTCATCTGGAGACAGTGGCATAATTTGAATGTGAAGAACTTTTGTAGACGCCCAATCTGAGCAAAATTGGATAACACCTATAGGTATTTCTCGAAGATGGAGTTACGTAATTGGACTATTTATCTCAGGTATATGCAGTGGTCAACAACTCCGAGTGTAGTGTTCCCAATTTTAACTAGAGCACTGATTAGCTAAGTAGTTAGTGTTATGTAATAAATAAGTGATCAAACTAATAAAATTTGATAAAAACAAGAGCCAAAGGAACAAATCAATTATTATCTACGGTCACACTCCGGTCTATTATGATGTTGTTCCCATGAGGGCCTCTGTTAACTTATTCATAGTTTTATCAGATACTCGGGGAATATAATATGTTTTCTAACAGCGTTTTCGCTTATTGTTGTTCAAATCAAAAGTGTAGACTAATTCCTGTTCTGATAATGACGACATTATGTTTGGGCTTGTTAACAAATTTGAAATAAAAAGGTGGATTTTTTCGTCCTTGTTCTCATACCTTTAGTAACGAGCGGCGGGATTGCAAATAACTTTACCGTTTACTCAAACGGAACAACCCAAAGAGAAGAACAAACATTAACTCCTGCTTATCTTCGGAGAACTTGTATTAGTCTAACTTTACGCTGATTCCTTTACGGGAACAGTTAGTTACATGTACTAATAAATTTATGCTACTTTGTATTTACTTATTGTGTATCATCTCGCATTCAGTGTTCGAAATTATTCGCTGTTATCGAAGTTTACCTGATTTATATCACCTTCAGTGATTGTGTGAACATAAATAACATTAATGCTTATTTCAAAACTGGTATTAGGTTCTTAGAAATATTTTGTAATTAACAAATAAAATTTTTATTTGATGTGTCTCCTACGAAGTTGTATGAAAACAGTTTTAGTTTTTTTAAACAGACATGAGTGCCAAAAGGGGAACAGCTGTTTCGAAAAATTATTTCATAGCTAGTAAGTACTCAGGAGAACAAGTTACACTTTTTTAAAGGCGGCTATAGCTCACTAGATTGCCAAGGTCATACACATTTACACGACCAATATTGCTATTATTAATTTCCAATAAAACCGTTGTCAAAAAAAAATGAACTTGCTTTTCAATAACCTAAAATCAGATGATATAATGGAAATATTAATATTCTGCCACCGAAAAAACTAAAGTTAAACCGTGAAGACGGTTATCCACTTCCTAAATATCTACATGTAGGTATATCTGGGTTTGACTGACATAAGAAAATACAGTGAATTCAGATAGACAGTGACTTTCAATAACAGAAACATCATTACTCATAGATTTGTTAATAAAATTATGTAACGCTTACCCGTCAAGGAGCATCTCCCCTCTATTCTTGATCCAGTAATTGATCGTATTGGGGTAAGCTTCCACGTAGCACTTGAGTTTCACGTCTGTGCCTAGAGGGGCGCCGAGCAACTGATTTGGCACTTTCACCGTGGGGGCGACTGCGGGGAAACAAAAGAACATCACGATGACTTGCCCGAAAATAATGCCCTCGTAAGAAGAGTTATGAACTCAGAGCTCGGGGGATACAGGTTTATCTAAAATATTGATGAATTCGTTGAGCGTTATGAAGAAAATTCTGATGTTTCTCTACAGCTCGGCTCAGATTTGTGTTTGCTAAAGCATTACAAGTTTGCTTACCATAAAATATATAGACATTAAAATATACTTATAATATGATAGCTTGTATAGCTTCCAATCTGTAACTCTTTGATAAATATATTGAGCAGTGCAATATTTATTGGTGATATTTAAGCAAATGTTAACTGAATCATTTCTTTCAATGTGACGTCATTGACTTTATAAAAAGCCAGTTGATGATCTTTAGGATTTTTCCGAATTAATATTCAAGCTAAAAACCCACTTCACCATGAAATAACGAAAATAGCAATACGTATGACTTTCAGACTTATTACATAATTGTTGGAATCTATAGACAAGTCTCGATCCCAATACATAATATGAATTTTACGTATATGTCGAAACTGTGTTAAGTTTTCATTGACTTGAAGCTTGTTCACCAACATTAAAAGGGTTCAGCAATGAACCTTGATCATAAACCGAGTGTTGTACTACTTCACGAGATAAGTACTTTTTTGAATACTGTATAAGTAATCACTTCTATAACAAATTACTCTCAACTTTGAATAAATATATAAAGTTCCAAGACAGAAGCAATGGCTTATCCGATTAGCTATATCGGTTGAAGTCACGTAAAGGCGAACTCTCATTCTGTAAAGCTTCCAGGATCGTGCAGTGCTCACAGCTCGCCGGATTATAATACAGTTTGGTGAGCGACGCGGTTTGCAATTCACAAATTTAAGCAGCAGTAGAATAAATTATATTTTGAGGCATGTTTATATTCAAACAAATATTTTAGTGAAAAATCTACTTGTCTTGGGTGTTATACAAGACTGAGATTGATGTTAAAAATATCTATATCTAATTTTAAACTAATATCTAATCTAAATCGAGGAGCTCGATAGCACGGGTGGTTAGCGCATTCGGCTGCGATCGTTGAAGTTAAGCATCTTTCGCAGGGGTCGGTCAATCGATGGGTGACCAAAAATCTTCTATCTCGAGTGCCTCTGTCCTTCGGAAGCCACGTTAAGCCGTTGGTCTCGTCTGCATCTGCAGTCGTCAGCACCCGCCGATTCTCACTGGGCCCGCGTGGTGAGTCATGGCCCAATCTCCCTATTCCATCCATAGGGAAGGCCTGTGTCCCAGCAGTGGGGACATTAATAGGCTGATGATGAAGAATTTAAAACAGATAAAAGAATTTATTAAATTTGATGATATTATTAAGAGAAGCTAATGAAATCTTTGATGTGGTATAAAAAACCGAATCAAATTGGATACTTAATGTGAAATTGGATTTTCAAAGACTTACAATTAACTAGGAGTATGATCCGCTTGCTGACAGCGGGCGGAACGTCGTTGGACGCGATGCAGAGGAACGCTCCCATCTGCCGCCGGTCCACGCGCCACAGCGGCAATGAACTACCCACGTAGCTCTCCACTATAGGGCAAACAGGAGAATATAACTCTCAGAATGTTAAAACAAGGAGTACGGAGGTCGTTGGACGCGATGCAGAGGAACGCTCCCATCTGCCGCCGGTCTACGCGCCACAGCGGCAATGTACTGCCCACGTAGCTCTCCACTATAGGGCAAATAGGAGAATACAACTCTCAGAATGTTAAAACTAGGCTTACGGAGGTCGTTGGACGCGATGCAGAGGAACGCTCCCATCTGCCGCCGGTACACGCGCCACAGCGGCAATGAACTGCCTACGTAGCTCTCCACTATAGGGCAAACATGAGAATATAACTCTCAGAATGTTAAAACTAGGAGTATGGAGGTCGTTGGACGCGATGCAGAGGAACGCTCCCATCTGCCGCCGGTCCCCGCACCACAGCGTACTGTAGGGGAAACAGAAAATATAGCTCTCGAAATATTTATAATAACCATTTGTTTTCTTTTGTTTGGTGTTGTTATAGATGTAACTTTATACATCTATATCCTAAATAATGTAATGGAAGGTGACTTCAGAAGTATCTCTGAAGTCATTTTTCAACTTGACGACTCTGTATATATCAATACAGGGAGAAAAAAGCAGCCCTTGCTGAGTTTCTTGCCGGTTCTTCTCAGTACAAGGTCTCCCGCCGTAGTTTTGCGAACCGATGGCGTAGCTTCTTGACCTTCACAAGTGCTTGTAACAGCCTAGACTGAATAAATGACTTTTCATTTAATTTCAATTTCCAATTGTAAACTTTTTCTCTCGAAAAATTATTCAATCCACCACTAAAATATCTTTTTTAAATACTACATAATATTGTCTTGGAAAAGGGAATATTTTGTAAACAACAACGAGATATTGTCTACAAGGATTAAATGTCTTGTAATAATTTTTCACTGGTATACGGCAGTAGCGCAAACGCTTCTGCAATCGATCTGAAATACATCTTAACACCAGAATGGTTGCTCCTCTCGCCGCACGAACGATTACGCGTTTCCGTGGCTAAGCAGTTAATAACCTCTAACAAACATTATCAATAATCTAAAAACACGTCTTAGAAAACTGTTTAATTTATTTATTTTTTATTTAAAACAATCATTTTGAAACCCAACGAACAAATAAACCATTTTAAGTAAAAAAGTTAAGCGCTATGGCTGCTCTGGGAACTTTTTTTACTGAAACTTCGTAGCTAACGTTCGCTAAACTTTCCTCTCTACCGTATCATAATAATAATGTTACACATAACGACCCTATATTTCGTACGTGCCGAGCGTTATGATAACTTCAGCAGATATAATCCTGAAATTGTGAATAAAAAGCAGGCGTACCATCGATTTATCAGTTAAATTTTCTCTAATGTTCTGACAAAATGCACCATATTACCAAAGTGTTATGAACTTTTGTGGGTAGAGCACTGAATATTTTGTGTCTAAGAATGATGCTATACCAAATGGATATATTGCTGTTAGTATTAGAGAGTTGAACTATTTTCATGAGTCTGTATTTTTCGGTTAAAATAATGCACGTAGTTAGATCTTGAGCGTCTATAAAATCGATAAAAACATCAAAGAGAATGTGGAGTGACATTTTACTGCAGTTGATAGAAATTGCGCAAGGTAGCTGGCAGGAGCTGGATGCGAGTAGCCCAAGATCGATCTGAGTGGCGTGTATTTGGAGAGACCTATGTCCAGCAGTGGACTAAGATAGGCTGTTGATGCTGATGATGATGATAGAAATAAAATCATAAAACGACAACGACTTTTTCACTTAGTTTGTAACGATCCATGTTTTTATTTAAAATCAAAAAAGTAAGCAAGAATTATGCTTGCGGCCACCAAAGCTAATAGGTACTTGCGAAACCCAAATATTACTCAGTCGTTGTCTGGTCGCATCCCCTACCTCATGGAGCAGGCCAAAAGAGGTATTTCCCTGTGGTTGTCTGAAAGATATTTACTTCTGCAGATGAGCGCTCTGCTTCGAGCAATCCGCTATATTCTACCTCCTTATATATGAAAATTGTCCGCTGAACAATTCTGAACTAATAATAATCAGTTTACCTATAACCTATAATGCGAAGAGATGGCGCTGCTTTGCAGCTTAAGAATAGCTAGAAAGAATTTCGACGCGGTCCGTGAGGGCCGCGGTAGCATAATTGGTCAGTGCATTCGCCCGGATTGCGAAGGGTGCGGGTTCGAGTCCCGTCTGCTGCCTGGTCCGCGTGGATTTTTTTCTAGTTATATTTTCTATAGATATTTACTTCTGCAGATGAGCGCTCTGCTTCGAGCAATCCGCTATGTTCTACCTCTTTATACAGGGTGTTACAAAAATACAAATAAAGCTTGAAGGGCGTTAAAAAACATCACATAAGGAGTTTTCTCTAATTTTCTTAAAATATTCGCATGAAGTTTAAACTTTTTATAAAAACAGTTATTTTTAATGATTAATAAAAATATCGATCATTTTAAGACACGTCACTAGTTCGAGGATCATTAAAAATAACTGTTTTTTATAAAAAGTTAAAACTTCATGCAAATATTTTAAAAAAATTAGAGAAGTCTCCTTATTTGGTGTACTTCAACACCCTTCAAGCTTTATTTGTATTTTTGAAACACCTTGTATATGAAAATTGTCCGCTGAACAATTCTGAACTAATAATAATCAGTTTACCTATAACCTATAATGCGAAGAGATGGCGCTGCTTTGCAGCTTAAGAATGGCTAGAAGAATTTCGACGCGGTCTGTGAGGGCCGCGGTAGCATAATTGGTCAGTGCGTTCGCCCGGATTACGATGGATTTCGGGTTCGAGTCCCGTCTGCTGCCTGGTCCGCGTGAATTTTTTTCTAGTTATATTTTCTTTAGATTTAAACATCAAGCATTTACATGCTTTAAAATAATAAAAATTATAACAATAATCATTTTATCAATTTACCAAACCGAAAAAATAGGAAATCAGAAATCAGAAATCAGAAATCAGAAATCAATATATCTTTATTCAAATTGGATGTATAGTACAACTCTTTTGAATCGTCCAAAATTTTTTTTCCCTACCACTCGTTACGGACATATTTTTTAGCTGCGGAGAAAAACGAGCGAAAAAAACTCCACAACATTAAAAGTCTAATGTAACAACATTTACAATTCATTATGTTGTTACAACGTCAATACAATTATGATTTATTTAATATAGAAAACCTGTTGGAATGATTGGAACAGTTCAAACCCAAGCATTTTTGTCTGTAATATAATCAGACACTTTGTAATAAGCTTTTTTAATAAGTGTTTTTTTTTTATAATATCTTTAAATTTATTTATGGCTAACTCTTGGATATTGCTTGGGACTTTATTGTATAAGCGAACACAAAGACCTTTAAATGAATTATTAATTTTGTGAAGCCTAGTAGCAGGTAAAGTTAGTTTATTTTTGTTTCTTGTATTAATTGTGTGAACATCACTGTTTTTAAGAAACAAATTAATATTTCTTCTTACAAGTAATAAATTTTCGTATATGTATTGTAATGCGACCGTCATTATTCCAAATTCTTTAAACTTATCTCTTAATGATTCTTTAACTTTAAGATTATAAATTGATCGAATAGCTCTCTTCTGCAGCACAAAAATAGTTTGAATGTCGGCGGCATTTCCCCACAATAAAATTCCGTACGACATTACACTATGGAAATAACTAAAGTACACTAATCTGGCCGTATCTACATCCGTTAACTGGCGTATCTTCATTACGGCATATGCTGCAGAGCTAAGTCTATTTGACAATTTATCAATATGTGGGCCCCATTGAAGCTTAGAATCTAAAGTTATCCCTAAGAATACTGTGGTGTCTACAAGGCCCACATTCCTATTCTTTACATTCACACTGGTTTTTACCTGTTTGGTGGTGTCTTAAACATTCTATACATGACTATATTTTTTTATTTATTATCTTAAGTTATCTAAGCTTGCCATCTAAAGAGTGATTTATAGTAGTATCACAGTTTATAGTCACTATATACGCAATATAAATGTACATATCTTTTTTTGTCTGGGAAATGCCTTACGCATCCTTCAACCACCGGGGGAGCGAGAAGAAGGTATATGGGACTCCCCCCTGCTCATTACAGCCAGCCCTTGGGCCGGGTGAAATAAACAGGGCCCTACCTAACGCCCTGAACAACGCCACTAAAAACCAGACAATACTCCTGCCCCGGTCACCCGGTGTACATTCTGAGGACCACAGTCCCCCCAATGCACGCCGGGAGTGCGGCTGCGGTCGCGGCAACTGTTACTGACTGTCCGCGCAATCTATATCTATATATATAAAACTCAAAGGTGACTGACTGACATAGTGATCTATCAACGCAAAGCCCAAACCACTGGACGGATCGGGCTGAAATTGTTGCATGCAGGTAGATGTTATGACGTAGGCATCCGCTAAGAAAGGATTTTAATCAATTCTACCCCGAAGCGAAGAGAGGGCGGGCCACTAGTACATGTATATGTATACCTGAACATGTATCACAAATGAATATTTTTATTGTTCAAGGTCATAATTCAGCATGTGCCCGTGATTTCGTATCATAGTTTTCCCATACTTAATTTTATTTGCAGTTCTTATATCCCGTTTCCCTTTCAAATTTCATTTTAGCGAAGGAAAATAGCCTTTACAAAAGTTCCCTTTGTCTTCTTATCGAAGTTGATCTAAATTGGTCCATCGGCTTAAGTACGCAAGCATCACAGAAATAGCTATATTACATTTTTTTTATTATATTAGTTTGCATAACCTCCTTTCCTGAAACACACTATTTGTGTGTTAATGCTTTTTGAAAATTAACGAAGCAAACAGAAAAATAAAACTAGAGAAAACATGGACTCTCGAATGTATCCGGTATATTTGTGTTTAACAAACACGAGCATAGCATTAGTCCATTAATAAATAGATGTAGTAGATTGCTTTGTTTATGTGTATTGTCGTGCAGGCATGAGTGTTACTGACGTGACATTAGCCATTCGTCATTATGTACGAAGGAAGGCCGAAATGGTTAGCAAATATAACTTATTAACTAGGTAATAATAATTCCGAACAAAGAGAACATAACTTACATTAATGTTGCAAAAACTAGGTTGGGGGAATATTTTGATTTGTAATGTTGCATGAATATCGTCGCCCTATCACGGAACTTTCAAGGTGTTCTTAGACATATCATGTAAAACTTTAAAGGGATGCAGTAAATGCATTTAATTCAAGGCGACATTGGTTTTAGAAAAAATGCGTCGATAATGTTTTTCATACTAAAAATAAAGAACTAAATACATGGTAAAAACTAATATCTCTTATAATGATACTAAGGACACGTGTTATCAAGTAGTATCACTTGTACCATTGATGGTACAAAACAGTCTTACTATAGACACCAGGGGATTTTTTTATTGCCTGCCGCAAATACTCATTCGCTCGCTTGATTTTGATTGAACTAAATATTTATCCTTTGACAGGTTTAAACATGTATATTGACCACCTGATAATAAGTGGTCAACAGAGTAACATTCGCTTATGCCTACTCGGACTCCGTCCCCTAGGTACACTCAAGAACCCTGAAAAACTTAATCGGCTGCAGTACTCAAAGGTCACTTCCCCAAAAGAATTACCCGAGTGGATAATTCGGTATACCCTCCGTTTCTCAACGACTCTCTCTTATTCAAAGTAAGAATAGTACAGTTTTTAACTCGCCACTCTAATATGAACGACTCAAGAACGCCCACTCTAATATGAAATGTTTACAACTTTTGTTCATGTGCATGTCCCCATTATGCCCAGTAATTATCCATTCCGTTTCTGTGCGCCGCGGTGGCTCATTTCTGTCCAAATTAAGAAAGGATAATATCTTTTCGTCCCCGAAGGCTTAACATAGGACAGAGTGTGTGTCAGGAATAACCTGAACACATGATGCCATGGAAGGTTTATAATGATCCAGTTTCATAAAATAACTGAAAAGTATTATTTTCATTAAAGTAATATATGTTATTAACGGGATTGTTATCATGTACCTTGTGTTTAGCGAATTCCCGATATTGCGGCACTGTTGTAAGCGCCATGATCAAGGAGTAACTGAAGTTGTTGTGGTTATTGTCGCTATCCGATACTGCAAGTGTTGTGTGTCGGGAACAGTTTCGAGTGAATAGTGAGAATGTGAACAGTGGTACTGGTATCGAACGCAATAAAAGACTTCGTCGGAGGGTAGACCGATATGTCTGCCAATAACAGCCTAACCGCAATTACTTCAGTTAGTCCGCGATCATGGCGCTTGCAACAGTGCCGAAATATCGGAAAGTGGCTAAAAGCAAGGTACATGGTAACAATCCGGTTAATAACATATATTACTATAATGCTTTTGACCATGAAAGTTTAAAACAATATATTATTTTCATGTTTTTATGTTAAAACAAGCATATGGCCCGCCTGATGGTAAGCGGCCACCATAGTCTGTAGAAGCTATACAAAAAAATATCACTCGCGCCGTTGCCTACCCTGGAGACCTACTCTATTTCAACGAAAAACTAAATTTCGATCGAAATTTCGCACGTTTCTTACTCTGTTTCCTTTTCATGTCGAAAATTCGTTCGTCCGGAAATAGTTTGACAATTAAATTCTCTAAGCCTACTCTAACTCTACCTCGAATTTGACATATAATTGTTCGAAATTTTAACCTCAAATTGACGAAATGACGAGTGTTGCCTTTTCATGACTGCTAGAGTATTTTTAATCAAAGCTACTTAGCACGAGGAATATTTTTTAGCATGTCAAATTAACAAATACACCAAATTTTAATTAATTATTGTATTTCCAATTCTTCAATGTATTAAACGACAAATTTAGGTTGACATTTAATGAAGTGCATCAACTCTACAAATTAGTCGGCTAACACTGTCAAAGAAGGTTCTTTTAATTTCATCAAAATTGTAGTAAAGTAATATTGTTTCCAAGTAAAACAGGTAATCTAAAAAGTGGAGATAAAAGAACTCACAAACATGACTCATTCCATTCGTTCACGAAAATTGTCTGTGATTCCGAAATTTATGTGCAATAATGAAATAGAGTAGATTTATTGGCGAAATTTCGTTTAAAATTCGTTCGTTACCGAAATTTCGTTTCGGAGAAAGAGAGTAAAGCTCCTGACCTAATACCCTACCCCTTGGAACCCTGGAACCTTACTCACCGACAGAAACACAATTATTTCACTGTTGTTTTGCATAACATGGAGATTCTTCGTAGTAGATTCTTCTGTATAAGAGTTATTATCTGCCGCCAATTATAACGCTTTTGTTAATATTATTGTTTGTGAATGTTACGTAATTATGTATTTGGTGTTATAATAAAGTGTTAATCTATCTATCTATCTGTAGATAAATAAAGAAATAATTCTAACACACACCAATTAGCCGAGCTAAAGTGAGCACTGTAAGACTTGTGTTATGAGATACTAGAGTAGTGGATAGAACACATAGTGATCTTACATATATAATTAGGTATACTCTATATATATATATATATATATGAAGAAAAATACATAATCATCCAGGACTTAAGTACAAATGCTACATGCTTAGATACAGCGATAGGTCAAGTTCCGTATCCATAAGCCAGCAAAAGATTCATAATGTTGAAGGAACATTTGTCATTTTGTGCTACAAAATAATCCCTTAGCTGCTAGAGGTCTTCTGTGTATTTCTCATTTTGACTAAAGGAAAGTAATCAAATAAAGAAGACAGTTTACGAAATCCTCAGGAGCTAAAATAACAAAACTGCCTTTAATAACATTTAAAGTAAATATTTAAAAGCGCGAAGTGTGCCTTCTTACTCCTTGTACGTGTAATGTGTAGGTGTGAAAGCCTATGAGGCGCGATCCCCAGCCTACCAATTTGTAAGCACACCTGTGCCGCGACGCAAGGGTTTTGGGGCTAAGGTGAGTGTAGGGTGGGGTTAAAAAGTACGGCTTTAATTAACACGGTGCCATTTCGTTGACATGTGTGTGTATACGCGTGTTGCTCTTTTTCATCTTTTAGCCGCTCGCTTATTGGGTTAAATGAGAGCATATGAGAGAATTAGCGGCTTCGCTTCGGTGTAGAGTTGAAGTGTAGTGTAGTGTAACAATGAAATTCATCTATGATTCTTCTTATACCTGCATGCAAAGTCTCAGCCCGATCGGTTTAAAATTGACAAAGTTTCATACAAACTTTCATTCCCTATTTTATCCCCTTGGGGGTAGAATTGATCAAAATCCTTTCTTAGCGGATGCCCAAAACCACTGGTCTTAACATCTACCTGCATGCCAAATTTCAGCCCGATCCGTCCAGTGGTTTGGGCTGTGCGTTGATAGATCACTATGTCAGTCAGTCAGTCACCTCTGAGTTTTATTATAGATAGGAACTTTCATTTTTAAACTTTGTCATAATCGAGACACATAATATTATACACATAATGGGTAGTATTCTGTTAAGCGGCATTCTAATTGTATTGAACTCGACTTCGTGAAATACGAGATCTTTGATCAAAAGTGACAGCATCAATTTCAATCAAAGTTAAAGAGTTACTGACAACTATGAGTACGAAAGTCATTTAAGTTGATATTTTAGATGGAAAATTCGCACTAAAAATGCTAACGCGTAATTTGGTGAAGATTGCTTTGATCGTGCAATACAATGTTTTATATTAAGAAATCCAAAATAGCGTTTTTTTTGTTTCAATGGAAAAAATACTACCTATGTTCAACAGATCATCTTCTGAGATATTAAGTAACTTATATTTTTCATTTCGATTGATCTATTGAGGAGGCGTAGCTTTACGTAAATAGAATATTACACAAGTGACATTTATTTATAGGTTTTTATTTAAACATAAAATAAAATAATAATTAATAATAATTTACATGTATGTAAATACGAAAAAAAAGGATAACGGATTAAAACATTAATTTTCATTAATCATTTAACTGCTAGATGTTAAAATGTAAAGAAAAAATTTCTAGAAAAAAAAAATTGCTCGTTCTAAAAAATCTTTTGCTATCCGGGCGGAATAAATATCACAGATTTTACACAAACCTTTATCGAATTCTCTAGATAACGGTTTCTTCAGAAGTATAGGCTCGTGGTCCTCTCTCCTCCACGTTATCTTGGGAGGGGGATGTCCTGTCGCTTTACAGGTCAACGTGGCATTCTCCAGCTCTTGAACAGAGACGTCTGCTGAGGTGTCGTCACTCACTATGTCTGGCGGAACTGTGAACAAAAGAAAATTATTGGTCTTTATGTGAAAAGGGTGGCAAACAAATTTTAAGCCCGTTTTTTTTATATATAGGTCCGACAAATGATTCCACCCCACCTGATTAAGTTAAGTTAAGTGACGGTGAAGTTCAGATGCGAAAATAGCCGATGTGTCGGATAGCAACCACCGGTACTTGGTTTTCGTATCGTCTTTGCTTAGCTACGGAGTTTTGAGACTGAGATTTTGGAAATTTAAATAAAAGGTGTGATATCTTTGAAAGTCTAATAGCGTATAATTTTAAATTCGAAAAATTGCTGTTACATAATTCGAGGAAGAGGGGTTGGGAACAATATTTTGCGACCAATGGCAGCGTCGATTTTTATATCGCGTCATGTAGCACCACACGGATTGGTGACCGAGCCGAACCTTAACTTGGTGCGTTCCGTCTCGCACAGAAATGCCAAACAGCCTATACAGCAGTTCTACATGCCACACCAGCCATCCTCACAATGCCGGCCTGCATGATGCTTCTTCACGCCTCTTTTAAAGGATCCCAGGTTATAAGAGGGAGGAAACACTTAAGCGAGTAGAGCATTCCATTTACGGATAATGCGACAAAGAAATGAGATACCAAATTTCTTTGTACGCGTTGAAATTGTGGCCAAAGTTAGACGGTGACAACGTGGGCCAGCGCGCGTGGTCCTCTGAAGGAAAGGGGAAGGTGGAATAATAGAGAATAACTGCTCAGAACACTCGCCGTTGTACAGACGATAGAACGCGCTTAGTGACGCCACGTCACGGTGTAATTGAAGAGGCTCGAGGTGTTTAGTCACCTCCTCATCACCTATGATGCGGATCACGCGCCGCTGTAACCTATCCAAAGCATCGTTTGATGTTAAACGCCCCCCATAGCTAACAGACATTTGCTATAACAGAGTTTCCAAGGTGGCAGTACCAAATCTTCGCTTCTAGACTCCAATGGCACTCGACATCAGAACAAAATAATTTGTAAGGTTACAAGAAATGTATCAGGATTCTGTGAAATACAGACTATATACTTTTCAATAGTTTGAGGAACATATCCTACTTAACTTAATATCATAAATGCGAAAGCTTGTAAGTTTGTATTTTTTCTCCTCAATCACGCAAAAACGGCTGAATGAATTTCGAAGAAGCATGGCACTTATGTAGTATTCATTATCTGGTTTGAGACTTAAGATATTTATTATCCTAAAAAATTGAGTTCCTGAGGGTTTTAAAAAACTAAAGTTAACGCGGACTAAGTCGCGGGCGCCCGCTTGTACATTATAAATTAAAACTGTCATTCAAGGAAAAAATATCAATATTTTATTGTACTGCGCACTGATAAACCCCTCTCAGAACGCGGGTTAGCCTTCCTCTTCACACATCAAATGTCATAATCTCACATGTCCTAGTTTCGCATCTAATCCGTTCTCGATTACAAAATTCAAACCACGAGAAGTTTTATCACATGTGTTACCTGCGTTTTTACCATATGTTGCTAAATCAAACTCACTGCGAGTCAAGGTACTGAAGTCGTTTTCTTAATCTAGTTTCAATTGGGTACTCGTATCTTTGGTACTGTCGGATGGAAGGTTGAAAACACAATGTCCTTGTTGAATTTAGTTCATGTTGAATTCAAGTCGGGGACACCCTGAAACCCGGCGTAAAAAACCACTGGGCCACGGAGGTCGTCGAAATTATCAATTTTGAAGTCGGTTTTTTTTTTGTTTTCTGGAGTTATAGATGTTAATATTGAATTTTATCCATGACTTGATGAATGCATGCTTTATTTTGTGGACGCACAATACATTTAAACCAAGACATACAAAATCATATCATGAACTAACAGATACAAAACTGTACCCATGTTACGTCCAATTATATTATTAAAACAGTGAGATTATAATTTAGTATTCTAATAGCTTTGATTCTGAGTTTTAAATTACAATAGGCCTAAATGGCCGAAATATAGAAGGTAATTGATGTTGTAGATACAATATTGTCTGTAGTATCTTTTCTTACAGTTTTTTACTAAATATAAGCTATTAATTACTACCTATTAATTATAATAATTCCTATTAATTAAGCAATCAATACAAGTCAGTGGAGCACCTGCTATTAATGATATTCATATTATACCTATTCAAAAAAAACAAACTGAAAAATATGACAGCTATTTTGGAAAATGAAATCATGAACTTCAATCGTGACATTCAAATATTATTTTGTAATTTGATGATGAGTGGTAAAGTATTTAGCAGAGATCTTCAAAATGGAAGCTTTGGGTTATAGAAAGCTCTTGGACTACGATTATTACACAATAAAATGAGAGCTTGAGTAACAAACATACAATGTTTCACATTAATAATAGAAGCAGAATTAGTAGGATTGCTTCCAAAAACCACAGCTCTTTATAAAATGAGGATCTGTAACGATTTTAGTTGATAATGCACATTTATAGAGCTAAGGATTCTATAAAATACCGTTGTTGAATTTTTGTTCTACGACAAATATTGACGAAGTTATAGACCAAATTACTAAACGAATTTTCGGGTGGCCGCGTGGTGACTGTGACTCGCAGAGCTCTAGCAGTCGTACGCGAGCGTACGTAGAGACGCTACTGAAGTTCGACCTGAGTGAACCACGATCAAGCTCTGTGACGTCACACGTTTCAGCCGCCCCGGTGAATATTCGCTATCATAAAATTAGTAATAAAATCGCAACTTATGAACCGATTTCGTTGTTTTAAAATGAATATTAATTAATAAGCTTATTAGATCATTATACTGTTGATTTTGAGTTGATTTGCTGACCTAGTAATAATCCTCATTGTTGCTATATTTATAACACTAAATATTGAGATCTAAAAATACACCCAGTTGAAGACATTCACATTTTATTTTTAGTCAGTCTTCGCTCGTGTATATTACAATGACGTCATCCTAATTTTGACGGTCTCTGAAAATGCGTAGTTTCAGTGTAAGGCTGTATTTCCACCAGAGATATAAGCGGATGCGTAGCGAAGGATATGTTTGTAAATAACCAACAGAATTGCTTCCATAACCTCGAGGAGCTCGATGGCGCAAGTGGTTAGCGCGTTCGGCTGCGATCGTTGAAGTTAAGCAACTTTCGCAGTGGTCGGTCATTGGATGGGTGACCAAAAATTTACTATCTCGAGCTCCTACATGCTTCGGAAGGCACGTTAAGCTGTTGGTCCCGGCTGCATCTGCAGTCGTTAGCACCCGCCATTCGGCACTGGGCCCGCGTGGTGGGTCATGGCCCAATCTCCCTATTCCATCCATAGGGAACCTGTGCCCCCAGCAGTGGGGACATTAAGAGGCTGATGATGATGATGAACCTCGTATCGGTCAAGTGTATGACATTTGGGGCCTATTTCTTAAAATGACTCCTTCTGCATACGACCATTTCGGGATTTTTCTATCTAAGACTACCTCGTAATATGACTGTTTCTGGATTCAACCATTTCTGTCTGTTGTTTTCGTCTACTATCAGTACAGTGTTTCTAGTATCTAGTGGGAACGACTTAACGTACCGAATTTTTTGTACATACAAAACAAGCGAGGGATGTGTGCAATGAATGTGTAAGGAAGATATGACACTGTGTGTGCTATGTATGGAGCCGATCGAGAAAGTCTCATCTGAAATGAACTTACTACATATCCTCATACCGCTCATCTGTACATAGTGTGACAGCTTCGCTAAACATCTTCGCACCACTCATCGTCCTAGCATATCTCTGGTCGAAACACCTACACCGTTTAATAACTTTGATACACACTCTCGCTCAGCTTATCTTCCTAGCATATCCCTGATGGAAATACTTACCTATACCTACGTGGTGGAAACACCTACACCGTTTCATAGCTTTGATACACACTCTGGCTCAGCTTATCTTCCTAGCATATCCCTGATGGAAATACTTACCTATACCTACGTGGTGGAAACACCTACACCGTTTCATAGCTTTGATACACATTCTCGCTCCGCTTATCTTCCTAGCATATTCCTGGTGGAAATACCTACCTATACCTACGTGGTGGAAACACTTACACCGTTTCATAACTTTGATACACATTCTTGCTCCGCTTATATTCCTAGCATATCCCTGGTGGAAATACCTACCTATACCTACGTGGTGGAAACACCTACACCGTTTCATAGCTTTGATACACATTCTCGCTCCGCTTATCTTCCTTGCATATCTCTGGTGGAAATACCTTCCTATACATACGTGGTGGAAACACCTACACCATTTCATAGCTTTCATGCGCATTCTCGCTCCACTAGCATATCCCTGGTGGAAATACCTACCTATACCTACGTACGTAAAATAACTTTACTTTTTGGTTGTGTTTTGTTTCTGTGGGTGAGTATGGTTCCAGGACTCCATGGGGATTGGGTTAGGATAGGCATTGACACGAGTGATATTTTTGTATCGCAATCGTCTAAGGCTATGGTGGCCGTTTACCACCAGGTGAGCCATATGCTTGCCTCTCTTTTATCATAAAAAACACCTTTTCACAGCATCGCTGCAACAATCGCATCGCTCTTCCTCCTACCACATCCCTGTGAAAACGCAGCCTTAACGAGTGGTGTCGTTTGGGAAACGGCTTAAGTCGCCACCCAGACCGCTGTAGCCGCCAGCTCCGGGCGGCTTAACTAGTCTTGCTTGAGCACAACACCAGGCTGTCCGATGGCTCGGTTCCCGTCGGAAATTTTATACATTTATTATGTATACGCAAGGTTCGGGACCGGCCCGAAACAAAAGGTCGACAAACCGTAAAAAGGTGCTTTTGTGTGTTACTCCGTTCCGTTTGTACAAATGTGACATGAATGCCTTTGAAATATGGTCTCAAGTATAAATATATGCTTATTTTTTATGATTATAATGTACTGTATGAATTATAAATAATGTACACGGACACACTTCAAAACTGAAAGCTTAGAATGGGAAGTTTAAATGTTTATT